TGCGCAGCTTTTCTCGGATGTCACTAAAACAGAAATAGAGGCGGTCCTTTTAAAACAAACACAGGTAACTGTTAACGCTAGCTTAGACGTGTAGCTAACTAAGGTTACAGGGAAGTGGTTAGTTGTAGGAAACAATAAGGGATAAACTAGGTTACCTTGAGGAGGCCAGGGTGGCGAGGATAGTTTTCTGTACAATAAAGAAAGTACAGAAAGGCAGGTCAGGGCTGTGAGCACTGTTGTAGTTTAGCTAACGTTAACCGTTAAGTCTGTATTACCCGGCTAATGTTAACGTCCTACAATGTAAGCATCTCTGCGCTCGTGTCGCTTGTGCCTAAATCTGTAATTTTCCGAGACACTTATTCCTCTCCCAATATCATAGACTGTATAAAATATCGAAGACTGTGGTCAATACTTAGCAAACCAGCGCCGTTATCGCTGCCTAGTAACGAGATAAACTACTCTTCAACCTACCGTGGAAAAAAAGCACAAACCATTCCTTTTGCAGGATGTCCCGCCTTACTGTGCTGTGATTGGCTAGTATGTTACTTCAACGCGTGGTTGTAATTGGATGCTAGGTACTACTGACTGTGACGTTGACCAATGACTTATTTCCAAACCAAGTCAATATCATAATACCACTGTATAAAAATACAATACAGTACTTATTTGATTGTGAATCAACCACTAATTCATTTCAAATAAAGTTCATTAAAAAAAAAAACAAGCCTCGTGACGTACTTCCGATTTTCGCCAGTGAGCGGCACTGCAGTTTCCGGTTCAGTTCCCACTCCAGTCACTACGGCGGTAAAATGAATCAGTATCAAGACGTGGGCGCTGTAATTGTACGAAAAAGGAAGAAATATAATGTCAGGGATGCTTTTAAGTTTCAGAGAACGACGGGTGGCTCTAATGAGCACTGCTGTGTGCCACTTTGTACCGCTTCAAGTCGCTATAACAGCGAACTCAGCTTCCACCGCTTCCCGAAACAAAACGGACTTCGTGAGGAGTGGCTGCACCAGATTCGCAGGACGGGATTTACGGTAACTCCGCATACGAAGGTATGCGGCCGACATTTCGAAAAATTCCACATTCGTGTTACTGTTAATGGTAGACGGGTTTTAGCTGCAAGCGCCGTGCCAACATTGTTTGCATGGAACAACTATGCTACCAGCAAGACAGGGGCCGGGACTCGACCGACATCAAGTCCGGATCCAAGCCCAATGGAGACCGAGGAGGAGATGGTCCCAATGCTCGAGGACCACGACTACGGAGCCTGTCGCGTGGTGTGCGTGAACCGGGAGCGGTATGAAAAAATGCGTGAGGAAATCGAGGCGCTGAGACAGCAGCTCCACACACTCCATATGGAGAAATCATTTGGACTCGAGCGGTTTGCTTCGTCACCAGAGGACATCAGATTTTACACCGGGTAAGATATCTACAACAAATCTATCAAGCTAAGTTAATAGTTGTAAGATCAACGTTTGACGCTACAAGTGGTTGCATCTATTGTCTGTTTTACTATTTTCTCTCTGTCTTCTTATTCTAATGTCGAACTTGTATGATAACTAATTCAGCTGTAATACTGTATCTATATTTTAGATTCCCCTCATATGAGCATTTGATGGCATTTTGGAACCTGATCAGTACAGCTACAGCCAAACTGGTTAGGGTCACCACCAGAGCAAGGAAAACCTATGCCACTAGCACAACAACTGAAAGCCCCTTAACCAGACCGACTGTAAGTACCCCTCCCCCAACCACACACACACACACACACACACACACACACACACACACAAAGACAAAGTCTCAGCGACACAAAGACACACACAGACTTAGAGACAAAGACAAAGACTCAGCGACACAAAGACACACACACAAAATTGAAAATGATGATTTTGAACTAACACTCATTAAACATTTCTCCCCCAGAAACTGCTGCCGATAGACGAACTCTTCCTCTTCCTGACATATCTGTCCACCGGCTGTACCCAGAGGGAGCTGGGCCATAGATTTAACATCCACCGAGCCACAGTCAGCCGAGTCATCGTGACCTGGGCCAACTTCCTCTACAGCCTACTGGGCTCGGTCTGTACATGGATGTCTCCAGCAGCTGTGAAGGCCAGTCTTCCACGTGTCTTTCATGGCAGCTACAGCGACACACAAGTAGTCCTTGACTGCACAGAGCTACGGTGTCAAACTCCTTCATCCCTGCTCCCTCAGAGTGAAGACTTCTCCAACTACAAGTCCCACCGCACCTTCAAGGCCATGGTGGGAATGTCCCCTCACGGAGCCCTGACTTTTGTGTCAGTACTCTTTGAGGGTTCCATGAGCAACAGGGAGGTGTTTCGTCAGTCAGGGATTACATCACTCTTAACACCTGACATGGCCATCATGGTTGATAAGGGCTTCATGGTGGATGACCTTGTACCTGGGACTGTTCATTGTCCTGCCTTCCTCTCCAAGAAGATGCAAATGCCGGAGGTGGATGTTCCGAAAACGCAGTCCATTGCTCGTTTGAGCGTGCACGTCGAGAGGATGATCCGAAGAGTTAAAGAAAATAAACTCTTTGATACCATTATCCCTCTCTCCATCGCAGGGAGCATAAACCAGCTCTTCACAGTCACATGTCTCCTCTCAAACTACCAAAATGGACCTCTTGTCAAGAAATAGAGATATGAAGTTTAAAATTGTGGCCATATCACCATATCCTCCTTCTGATGAACTTAACATGAACATGTTTATTCCTCAGCTTTGTAAATTACATTTTTCATAGCGAGTCTTATTTTTGTACAGTTGATTGATTCTCTCTCACATCTTTTATTTACTTAACACTTCTTAAGGCTAAATTTTGTTTTGAGATTGTGCAATTTTGCACAAAGTAATGTACGTGACATACTATGTATTTCTGTAAGTAAACTGTGAACAAACAAGTGCACATTTTCTGCAGTTACTCACTCATGAATGTCTTAACATTTCAGCCTGAAGGCTCTACAAGCGCAGCTCAATAAATTATAATATCATGGAAAAGATCATTTATTTAATTAATTCAATTCAGAAAGGCAAACTCATTTCATAGATTCACTACACATAAAGGGCAGTATTTCAGGAATTTGTTGTAAAACAATGTAAAATGATGGAATTAATTCCTGACGATATTGTAAACAAATGGAAGAATTGTTTAGTTTAGAAAAAAATAATTGATCTGTTAAACTCCAGTCACATGTAGATGTAATGTGTGGTGTGGAAATTGAAACTAGAAATCTGCTGATTATTACAATTCTAGCAATGGCAAAATTTTATATATACAAATCTAAATTCATATTAAAAAAAGTATCTTGGGGTCTTGTTCATGAGTGAGGGTAGAATGGAGCGTGAGATGGATCGGTGGGTCGGTGCTGCTTCTGTAGTGATGCGGGCGCTGTGCCAGTCCGTCGTGGTGAAGAGGGAGCTGAGCCAGAAAGCAAAGCTTTCAATTTACTGGTCCATCTACGTCCCAACCCTCACCTATGGTGATGAGCTCTGGGTAGTGACCGAAAGAATGAGATTGCAGATATAAGTGGTGGAAATGAGTTTCCTCCGTGGTGTGGCTGGGCTCAGCCTTAGAGATAGGGTGAGGGGCTCAGACATCTGGAGGGAGCTCGGAGTAGAGCCGCTGCTCCTTAGCGTCGAAAGGGGTCAGTTGAGGTGGTTGTGGCATCTGATCAGGATCCTCCTGGGCGCCTCCCGCTGGAGGTGTTCCGGGTACATCCCACTGGTAGGAGGTCCTGGGGCAGACCCAGGACACCTTGAAGGGATTACATATCTCATCTGGCCTGGGAACACCTTGGGGTCCCCCAGGAGGAGCTGGAAAGTGTTGCTGGGGAGAGGGATATCTGGGGTGCTTTGCTTGGCCTGCTGCCACCGCAACCCGGCCCTGGATAAGTGGATGAAGATGGGTGGATGGATGGATGGATGGATGGGTTGAACTTAATTTAACTCTACACAGTTTAACTCCTGTTTCATATAACATTTGATTCTCTGCAAATTGTGAACTCCTAACCATTATTCAATGAACATTTTACATTCAATCTTGAACCATATGTTACTATCAAGGACAACAAAAGGTTAGATAACACTGTAAGATAACAAAATAGGCCAAGTTATTTTAAAGCACATCTGTTAAAATAACATTTATTTTATCTAGGGAAAAAAAATTATACTTATTATCTTCACATATGCCCCTCATAAGTATTTGTGCAAATTTAGTTAATTGACGAATCAGATCTTTCTTATTTCATAATAAAGACCAACTAGAAAATTAAGGCAGAGGCGAGGGACATCTCGTACATCCTGGGGGCACATACTAAATGGTAAACGGATGGACCTGCACTTGTATAAGTCACTTGTTCTAGTCTTCTGAAACTCAAAGTGCTTTTTACACAAGTCACATTCTCCCATTCACACACACATTCATACACTTGTGGCCGAGACTACTATACAAGGTGCCACCTGCTACTCAGTTTTTAACACACTCACACCGATGGAACAGCCACCAGGAGCAATTTGGGGTTCAGTATCTTGCTCAAGGATACTACAACATGCGGTCTGCAGGTTAACCACTGATGTTTCGATTAGTGAACAACCCGCTGTGTCACAGCCGCCCACCTACTAGGCCACACTATAGTAGAGATGATCCAGGCAGGAACTGAAGAGCAACTGAAGCATAGGAGACAGGACTAATCCAAAAGTGTTCAAATTTTTTTTTTTTTTTTACAAAAATTAAAATCATAATTAATATATAAATGTAGTAAAAGGTGCAGCTCTTTTGCCCTTTCTCAGCTACCCAGGCCAGCGTAGGCTCATGGCTCTGGATGATACTCTGAATCCAGTTCCCCCACGGTTTGCCAATGGCCTCTGAACACCTTAGCTTTGGAGTTTAAATATATACTGTGTA